GAGCTGAAGTTGGATGCTTACCCGACTGAGCCACCCAGGTGCCCTAAATTTTGGTTTCTAAGCTTCGGAGTTTATTTTACTAGTAAAAAATTGGTTTTCCTTTTAATATAGAAAAAAATATAAAACACACGAACGTATATATGTATCTGATCTCAACAGTGAGCTTTGATTGTCTTTCTTTTACATGGTCGTTCCGGGTGAGTGTTGGGATTTGGAGGAATCCCCAGGCTCCCTTCTTTAAAAAAATTTTTTAATGTTTATTTTTAAGAGATAGAGCACGAGTGGGGAGAGGCAGAGAGAGAGAACAACACAATCCGAAGCAGGCTCCAGGCTCCGAGCTGTCAGCACAGAGCCTGACGCAGGGCTCGAACCCACAACCCACGAGGTCGTGACCTGAGCCGAAGTCGCATGCTTAACCGACTGAGCCACCCCCCCACCCCCGGCTCCCTTCTTAAATCAAACCTGACACAAAGGCTTGTGCTGAGTCTGAGGGTGGCGCTGGCCAAGCCTCTCAGCTCCTATACGTACCAGGCTTCACGATGTGACGATGTAATGACATTTGGAATTTACACACACTACCTGAAGACAGATACTTTGCAGAGAAAGTGCTTTTTTTCCTGTGGGGCTCTAAATACAGTTAGAGCTGGGGCATCCGTGCTAAGAATTGGGCGGACATCCCCATCCGAGCGAGATCTAGGCTCGCTGTCCATCGGGGATGGTGCCAGGGACTCCCCCATGGTGTCCCCCATGGTGACCGGGGCCTTTGAGGGGTGTCTTTGCCATGTGTCCTGCTCCCGGTTAACTGATGTGCCGATGGTTTGTCCTTTGCATGTCTACCGCCCGGTTGCAGCATGAAGCGTGCCAGTTCTCTGAGTGTCCTTAACGTGGGTGGCAAGGCAGCCGAAGACCGTGGTTTCCAAGTAAGGAGCCCTGCCCCACTTAATGCCCTTGACCGCTCAGGCCTACTTCGCCGGGCGGCTGCTGTTTGAGCAGCCGTGGGGACGTTTCAGTATTTCTGAGTCTTAGATAAAGAGGCGTTGTAACGATATTTCTGTATTCTGCATTAATTTGAGGAGGTGAATTATGGGAATGTTCACATTGTGAACGTTCTCAGTATATTAATTACCGATCTTTAAGTTTGATTAGCCTAAGTAAAATTTAAATATTCTGATAAAGCAATTATCAGAATTTGGCCACTTAATTTTTGTTACTAATTTGTATGATTTTAGCCTGGGGTAAGTTTGTAAGTAATTGTCTAGTTACACTGTTGTTTAGCATTTTCAGAACTTTACAAATGTAAGTAACTGACGTAATGTCACTTTTACACTCAATCTTTAGCGCTTTTTTTTTTTTTAGCTGTGTGAGGCTTGCACGAACCCGTCACATTTAAAACTGTTGGCACCTTGTCTATCAGAAATGGCCTTTTTGCTGCTGTTAAGCGTCCAGTGTGGCTGTCGGGGTGCGGCCCCGTGTGCCAGGCAGACCAGCAGCTGAGCTTGTGGGGAAAGAGAACCTTCTCAGCCAGACCTGCCCGTCATCACACCCATTAGCAGCTCCCCAGGTGCCCCAGCCCAGCTGCTAGACTCCTGGACGCTCACCGACAGGAACAGGCCTTCCTCCCCAGCCTGCACCCGTGGGGGCGGCTGTTTGCAGGGGCCTCTCAGCAGACCTTTGGTGAGAAGGTGCGAGACGCCAGTGGTGTCTGGGCATATTTTGAGCGTGCCTGGTAATGAGAATAAAAGAGGTGTCGTCTCCAAAGGTCTGGGGCAGCCAGGTCCCCTCACCCATGTCTCTCGGTGTTGGCACCTGTGTACGTAGCGTCAGGGCTCTCGGAGGTTGACTTAAGGGTTGTGCAGCCGTTGTTACAGCTCTGAGACCACTTGAAGCTGGCGTCATTTGACGCACGGGTCGCGTATAATTTTTCTGTTTGTTTGTTCACGCAGGAACGAAATGATTATCTGGCAGACTCGTGAGCTCCGAGTGCCAGCCACACTGACCTGGCCCACTGAGGGTCGGGGCAGAGCTAGATAAAAATCCCCGAGACTTAACGGGGACACTGAGACCCTCAGAGCTTTGCCAAGCTCCTCTACTCTGCCCGGGACTCACCTCCCCAGTGACTTCTTTTCTAGGTGGTGACCTCTACCACCTCGTGGCGGTTTGCCCCGAATTCCGTTAAGCTGCCTGCAGTCCTAGTGAGCTAGAGCTGCTGGATGGAGCGTGAGACTGGCCAGGCGTGGCGCCGGCAGCCTCAGCGTGTTTGGGACCGGCCGCTGTTCACGGACACTTGCACTTTCTGCCGCTACGCCAAGATCTGTTTCAGTTTTAGTATTGTGTTAAGGCTATAAATGAAGGTTCCGGAACCTTAAACTGCATCTTTCTAGAATGAGCATCTGATGGTCTGGGGCCATGCTGCCTGGAATTAAGAGGACAGTTGGTGCTCAGAGCTGGGAGAGACAGGTGACCCTCTGGTGGGGGTGGGTCTCTGCCGAGTCCCCAGTCCTGCCGTGTGCACCCCCCCCCACCCCACCGCTGGACGCGCATGGGTCCCCACCCCTCTGGGGCCCAGCTCCCCTCTCCTGGGCCCTGTACACTCAGCATGTAGGCATGCAGGCTTAAAAAAAGATTTTCTTTGTAGGGTTAGAACGGTTCCCAATCAACCCTAAGGGAATCTGCCAGACTAACTGGCCGGTGAAGAAAATACTGCACAAATACTGTTTGTAATTCCGGATGACAGCAGCTGTAGGAAGGGGCGCGTCCAGGCCACCGAGCTGGAGTAGGACGACTCATCACTTAGCTCTGAAGGGGATCTGAAGAACTTGGGGTACCCTGGGAGATGCTGCACGTTTGGACTTTCTTTTAATGTCGTGTTACCGGAGGGGTCACAGCAAGGGCACTTGCTGCCCCCCCAGCCCCCTGCTCCGAAATTGCACCATGCTGGGGTCTGTGCTCCCCAGGGGCCCTCCGGCGGGGCTCACGGGGCACCTCGGCACTCGCTGTACAGACTCCCTGGGGGTCCCCGCGGGGGCACCCACCTGCTGCACTGCACGTGTCCTTCAGGCCAGGCGTGGATTTGGGGCTGCGGGCCGGAGGCGGCAGCATGCCGGGGTCTGGGGGCTTTGTTGACGGGTGTCCTGTGATAATACCAGAGCACGTGGCCTAGACCACCTGTTTGGGACACTGCTCGCTGCCACCCGGAGGCCAGTGTGCGGTGCCTGGGCCCGGTCTTCTGTGGCCGCGCCTCCTTCCTCAGCGTCTGGCCGGCTGGGCTTTGCAGCCTCCGGCTTTGTAACCGTTGTCCACTCTGCAGGCTGCGAGAGACCGCCGCCGACAGAGTGGGCTGTGTGTCCACGCGGGCACTGTGCACTTTGAAGTTCCCGTTTGAGGGGCCGGGGAGCATGGTGTCACCTGTGGAGCGGGACAAGGGCTGTCCCGTCTCCCCTGTCCCCTCCATCGGAAGTGCTCTTCCAGCCACAACGCTGATCCGATACATTGGAAACCTACCCCCTTTCCCTTAGTGACACGTCTCCCTGGGAAACCAGGACATTCAGGAAGGATACACGTGGGGCCAGGGGTAGGATTTAAGCTCCCATGTGGGGGGAAACGGGGCCCAGCCTGTGAGCCCGCCAGCCCCCTTCTCTGAAGGCCAGCTTGCCTTTGTGGGGCTGTGAGGAGCCATACAGCCTCCTTACACCACGTCGTAAGAAACCGTCATGTTTCAGAGGGGATGCTGCCTGGAAATGTGTAATTTCTGATTTTTGAGCTTGTATCAAAACAAGGGAGCCTGGTTGTCCTCTGCTCATTTGTCTGGCCGTCTGGATTTTAATGTTCTCGAGGAGGAGAAGCAGTGGGGGCGGCCGGCCCTCCTCTTCAGTGTTTTCCTCTCCCGGCGAGGGGGCCTCGGGCCCTCGAGTTAGAGGTCCCTGGTCAGAGGACAGGCAGGAAGTGACGTGAGCCGGCTCTGTGGGTCTGTCTGAGGGGGAGGTTGTGGGAGGGCTGGGCCGTCTGCCCTCGGCTCTCCCCAGGGTCTCTGTGTTTACAGTACTGGAGGGAGTCAGGTAGTTCTTTCCCGGAATTCGAAGAGATTCCGGTCATGTTTGGTCAGAAAGCTGCTAGAAATATCACGTGATGAGAAATTCAGTGTTTACAGCAATCTATAAATATTGCTAAAAATAGTTTATAGACAGCTCTTTCATTGTCATAACTTCATAGAAGTATTCTTGGGAAGCAGGTGCATACATGAGGCTATACTCTGGTATGTTTGCACTTGCTGTTGAGCAGTGCACTGCATGACCATCAGACTTCTGAAAATTGCCAAGTGCTACTTGATAACACCGATCGAAGGGGAGGCTCCAGTCAGCTGCGGGCGTCTCGTCAGGGCTCCCAAGCGTCATACGGGTGGCTGGGGCGGTCATGAATACGTGTCATTTTGCATTAGTCCCATTATTATGGGGGGAACTGACGGGGCTTCTACAGTGTTGTGGACGTAACCATGGGGATCACCAGCCCGGGAGGACTGCCTGACAAGCACTGGGGGTGGGGGGTGGGGGGGTGTGGGCAGGGAACTCCTTAGGGGGTCCAGGGCGGTCTGTCACTGAGACAAAAGTCCTGCTGCAGCCCTGTCCCTCGCCTGTGGTGGGCAGGCACCGTGCACCGGCACCCTGCACCCTTCACGCTCCAGTGGGCCTGCAGCTTCTGGGGAGGGGCTCGTTAGCACATTCGGTCTTGGGGCTGTGGTTTGCTCATTGTTGGTGTGATTTGCCTAGAAAATCATCCGGAATTGTTTGTATTTAGTTACGATAATAAAATGGTTTATTTCCTTTTGCAAAGTCCCTGCACTTGCAGAAAGGCTCTTTTATAAAATTCCAACCCTAAAAGAACGGTTTCCTGCTTAACACCAGCCATTCTCAACCTTCTGAGAGTCCCAGACTACTTAAAAATGGGATGGAAATTAGAAGTGAATTTTTCTGCTCTAGAAAATGTCAAAACAGTGCGAGTCTGCCCAGTTACGGGGACCTCTGCCTCCACCCTAGTACCGGGTCAGGTTATGTCCCTGCCCTCCTGGTACCAGCCTGGGGATCAGCGTCTGGCTCATGGAGTTGCGGGAGGTTGGCCAAGTCACTTCACTGTTCTGTGCCTCAGTTTCCCTGAGACCAAGGACGGTAACTGTGCCCATCCCCAGGGGCCGCGAAGGAGACGCACTCCAATGTGGATGAATTACTTAGGACAGTGCCCGGCAGAGAACAGGCCATGGCGAAAGGGTCCAGGGCCCGCTGTGCCGGGGGGCGGTGGGGGCGTGAAGGCAGACAGCCCTGCCCGGGGGGAGGCCACGTCAGGCGGGTCATCTGAGCTTACTGCCTTCCCGCCATTGAGAAGGGGCAGCCAACCCCTGGAGCAGACCCTGTCCCAGCGATGGGTGTCCCGGGTCAAGACGTGAGTCCCCTGTGCCCGCAGAGTGTGGAGGGCTTGGCCAGACTCGGGGTTTCTTGGGACCTGGCCGGCCGTTCTGCAGCTGCCACGTCAACGGGCCTCGGTCCCGGGAGTCCCCCGTACCCCCTCCATGCTGACGGTGTAGGAACAGGATGAGGGGGGCAGGTGAGGGGCGAAGATCACCCGCAGGGTGCGGTCAGGGCGGCCGGGCGGGGGGAGGACGGCTTCCTCCTCGGGGCGGCGCCGGCTGACCATCAGCCGCATTAAGAGCTGATTGGACCAGGTCATTCCGAGGGCTGGAGAGACCCGCTCCTCCCAGAGACTGAGACAGAAAACAGGCCCAACGGTTACCGACAAAACCTTGGGGGACCCACTGCCACCCTCATTGTCCTGCCCGTGGGCTGGGCCCGGCTCACCCTTGTGGCCCGGGTGCCGCGCCCCGCTCCTCCACGGCCTCCGTCACCTGGGAGATCCGGACCAGGGTCAGTTGCAGCAAGGACCCACAGCCACCCGCCCCAGCATGAGTGGCCTCACTCCCCCACCCCCACCCCTCTGAACTTCCCTAAAATCCAAGCTGGGTGGGGGGGGAGGGGAGGGAGGGTGTCGGGGTTGGGCCCACCTGGTTGATGCATAGCACGGGGCTCCGGAACGTGCTGCTCAGCCGGCGCAGGGTGGCCCCCAAGGCCTGCAGACGCCTGGCCCTGGGCATTGAGGCCAGGCCATCAAACTCACAGCGGAACGGGGCCGCCACGGAGTCGATGACCACTAGTCGGGCCATCCCCCGCGACAGCAGCACGGGCACCTTCTTACTCACACACTCCAGCAGGGCGTCCTAGAGGCCAAGGGAGCTGGCGGTCAGCGCCTGTGTCCTGCACTGAAGAGCCCCTCGCAGCCTTCCCGTTTTACTCCTCACCCCGTGGGCCATCACAGTGACCGGGACTTCATCCTTTGGTGGCCCCGTGCCAGGAGCTGACCCCTGGGGTGCTGCCATAGCAGAAAGCCGGCTCATAACCGACCGCCCTGGTCGCTGGGACCATACTCTCGTCAGGCGGGTCTAGGGGTGGCAGTGAGCCCTGTCCCCTGCCCAGCCCTACCCCATGGCGGGGGGGGGGGGGGGGGGGGGGGGGGGGGGCGGGGGGAAGGGAGGGGCAGGCCACCCCCGCCTACCTCTGGGGCCCGAGTGCGGTGCCCTGAGCGGCCCTGGCTAGGCTCCCGGGTGGGGCTGGGCGGCCTCAGGCCCTGGTGCCAGGTGACCACACACTGGCCGTCCCGCCAGAGAGCAGCCAAGTGTCTGGTTCCTCGCCCTGAATGAAACCCAGTTCTGTGCTTCCACCTCTAGGGCGTCTTCGGTAGAGCCTCTTTTTGTGGAAAATGATGGCAGCAGCAGCGGTCTCGAGGACGCCAGCATTAACGTGAGTCCCGTCCCCTTTCCGTCACCGTAGGCAGCTCTGGGGACACCTGGGGGCTGGGCAGGTGGTGGCTGCACTCGCTCCCTGCGGAGCCAGGACTCAGGGGCCCCCTCCCCCAGGAGGTGGAAACGGGGACCGCAGCCCTGAGGCCCCGCTTGTGCACAAAGGGCAGGCCCCGTCCCCACAGCAGGGCCCCGGGCTCCAGGCCGACACTGGGCAGGAGGGCAAACGCCTGGTGCCCCCAGTGCGGTTTTCAGAACGGCTCTCAGAAACCACCGTGGGCCTCAAAGCGCTGGCCCTGACTGCTGCCTTCTCTTGCAGTGAAACCACACCCGGCCCTGGAGGACCCAGGACAACACTGCTCGTGTGCAGCCAGAGCCTGCCCTGTGACAGCCAGGGGACGGTCACCGAGGCTGGAGGGCCCTGGAGCTGAGAGCCTGCAGCACTAACCTCGTCTTCTGTGTCCCCGTGCCACCAGCACACTGTCCTACTAACAGCCACACCGCTCACCAGGACGCGTCGCTTGCAAAGCCATGGCCACGCTCGGCCCCTCCAGGGTGACGGGGTGGGCGCAGCCTCCCTCCTGGGCCGCGGTTCCCGGGACACCCGTGTCCCGAAAGTGCAAGGAAGAGGCATTGGCTGCCTGGGCCCGTGTGCCCGATCTTACCGTGTTACTTCCCGAAGCTGTGTGTGATATGTTCTATTGTAAATTTTTTTAAAATTAAAAGTTTATATGCCTTACCCTTTACTTGCAATTTTTATAGCAATTCTTAAGTGGGGGAAGGTCCCCCGGGAACCGGGGACCCTGCCCAGCGGGTGCGGGGGTGCGCCCGGGAAGCTGGGCTGCGAGGAGAGGCTTCCCCCAGCCCCATGCAGAGGCTTTCTTAACTTTTTTTTTTTTCCTGCTATACGGTTTATTCTCAGCTTTTGAACCCTTTCCACTCATTGCTTGCTTGTCCCTCCCTCAAATAATGATCGGAGTTGAGCACGGACCAGGTCACAGGGCCGCTTCCCCTGCCTGCCAGGACCACTGTGGTCCTAGCCCTCTCCCTGGGGCTTCCTGCCCCACGGCTGCCCATCTGCAGGGAGGGATGCTGCTGATGCTTCCGGATACGTGTCCCCCGCCCCCCCCCCTCGGAGCAGCCAGGTGGGGACCTCCTGTGCCCTGATGCACGTTCTGCTCTGTCAGGGGTAGAAGTCAAACCCGACAGACTGTTCTCGCCGGGACAGCCGGCCTGTCCTCTGGGCAGTGGATGGTCACCGCAGGGTGGCCGGGTGGCCAGGAGGCAAGGGAGGTGCTCTCTGCTACTGAGGGGACTGAGGAGCACACCCCGTGGGGGACGGGACGGTGGACGGTGGGTGGCGTGTGGGGCCTCCCTCCGCAACTCCCCGTGGGCGGGGCGACCGGTTCAGCCTGAATTTCAGGTCACGAATCCTGTGGCGGCTCACCGGCTGCCTGGTGCTGGTGGTGGCCCGGTGTGGGTGTCGTGTGTGCGGCTCTGTCTGCTGGCCCACCTGACCACCTTCCCCACAGAACTCAGGGCCAGAGAGGGAGGACGCTCACCACGTCGGCCACGTGCTCGATGAAGATCTGGTGGCCAAACTTTATCTTGTCGATCACCTCTCCCGGAACGTCCGTCCGCAGGTGCCGCTGCCCCGCAATGAGCTGCTGCAGACGCAGGTCCGGGAAGACGTCTTCGGTGCAGACGTACACAGCCCCTGGGGCGGCACGGGCGGGGGGGAGGGGGGGGTGTCAGCCCGCCCCCCTGTGGCTTCCCCGCACGGGGGCTGGTTTCCCTTGCCGCCCCCTTGCTGTCAGGATGCCACCCCGTGGGTCTGCCCCCAGCCTGTCTCGAGCGGAAGCCAGTGGGATCATCAGGGCCCGCGGGCTTCCGGAAATGCCCTGCCTGCACACGCCCTTGGATTCCCCTCAGAGGCTCTGCCGGAGCATGCTTCCCAGATTCCCAGATTCTCCTTTCGAGGCTGCTCCTGTGATCCTGGGCTGCTGTGACCTGAACACCCTGGGGTGACGCCCTGGCTCCCCTGTGCCAGTGTACCCCAGGTCCGCTGGGAAGAACTGGGGATCGTCACAAACGAACCCTAACGTCTGTGGCAACTGATTTTCAACGAAGGTCCCGGGACAGTCCAGTGAGAGAAAGAAGTCTTCCCCGTGAATGGTGCGGGGACGCGGGGACCAGGCCCTCCCTCACCCCCGGCACGGACTCCATCCGCCCATCGAACGCCAGAGCCGACGCTTTCAAACTCCGGAGAGCACGCGGGTGGGTGTTCAGGACTCTGGGTTGGGCGAGGGGGTCTCCGATGTGGCACAGACCGTACAAGTGAGAAAAGGCAGAGAGAGAAACTGGACTCGATCACAGGATAATCCACAAGAAAACGAGGAGACCCCTGCAGAAAACACGGTGAATTCCGTGTCTGGGGAGAGGCTCGCGTCCGGATCACATGAGGATCCTACAAGCCGGCCACAGAAGGCGACCCAACCGCGAACCGGGGCAAAGGCTCCAAAGGGACATTTCGCCACAGGAAACGTCCGCTGACCGGCTTCCAAGGCCAAGTCCGTCCACCCGGCACCGGGCACCTGCACCCTTGCCCAGAGGTGCAGGGGCGGGGGTGACACAGAGGCCCGCCGCGGGTGAGCAACCCCCATGCGCGGTCCAGAGGCCCCCGCCCACGGCCGGGCTCACGGGAGCGGCACCGACCCCAGTCCTCGGCTCTCGGGACATAGGGGAAGCAGGAGAGGTCCCCGAGCGAGGCCCCTGCTGCCAGTGCCCCGCATGGGTCCCAGCGGCGTGCGTGTGTCACCGGGCCGCGAGGTCTGGCCCCGGCCGCATGCCCCGCCCACCGCGTGGGCCAGCCAGTCCGGGAAGCCGGGTGAGCAGATGAGCTCGGGAGGAACCGTGCAACGTTTACCGAGGAGCTACCGAGGTGCGACCCGTCCGCTCTGGCACCACATTTAGTAAGAACGATTGAAGTTTTTAACGCTCAGAGACCCGCACGGGCAGCCTGGAAAAATCCCTCCACCGCACGCCCTGTGCAGACTTGACAGACGCAAAACCGCGTCAGGGGCCGGCCGCCCCCGCTGTCCTCGGTGGTCCTGTCTGCCCCGTCCCCAAAAGGGAAAAAGAGGAAAATGTTTGCCCGAGGCTTCCAGCCCCAGGGACCATGTGGTTTGCAGGCTGGCGGCGGGAGAGTGCGCAGAAGTGCCCAAGGGGGACTCTGTGCCCAGACGGAGACTGTCCCCGGGTCCTCGAGGGAGCAGGGGCCACTTCCTACGGAGGGCAGGCTACAGGGCCCACGGCCCTCAGACCTGCCCTCTCCCTCGGGTGGAATCCACGGCGCATGCGGAGAGAGACAGGGACCCGGGAAGATGGCCCTGGAGGTGGCGTCGGGCCTCGACTCGATGAGTGCGACCTGGGCACGGCCGGGACCCCCGCCTCCCCCAACTCTGCCCCCGCCCGCCTGAGGGGACAGCCACTCACCGGCCTCCAGGCCTCCGTGCCGCGGAGGGAACTGCACGGTCAGGCAGAGCTGCAGGGCCAGCTGGGTCTTCCCGGCGGAGCTGTGACCGGCCAGCTCGGTGACACCGTCCAGGGGCAGGCCGCCGCGGAGAAGGCCGTCCAGCACGGGGCAGCCCAGGCTCAGGCGCTGGTGCTGGGCGGGGAACCTCTTCTTCTGCCGGTGCAGATGCAGAGCTGGGCGCAGGGGGCGTCGGTCACCACGTGCCGGGGGCCCAGGCGACCTCGGAGCCAGAAGGCAGGGAGGAGGCGGGCGTGGAAGCTTCTCCTAGCTGCTGTGCTCTCTGGGCACCCGTGGGCTCTGGGTCTGCTTGCCGACCCACCCCCGCTTCCTGCACTGCCTGGCCTGGTCCCATCTCTTCCGTCCCCCTGCCCTTGCCCTGTACACCTGCTGTGTCCCTGTCCTGATGCTGTGACGGTGGCCCTGCGTCAATCCCTCCCCAGGCATGGGCAGAGCAGAGGCCTCTCCTCACCCCCCACCCGCCCCCAGTGCCCACCTGTGAAGACGCTGCTTCCCCGCAGGTGCAGGGAGGCCGTTCTCAGCAAGTGTTGCACGTCGAGGCTGGAGAGGCCGGTTAGTCTCTGCAGGTCTGGTCCAGAAAAATGCAAAACCTCCTTTATTGACTTCAGTTTGGCTGAAATTACACAAAGACAGAACAGGACAAGTTCAGACTACAGTAACGCAAGGCAGCATGGCAAAGACAACGGGTGTTTTCCGGAACACGGTCTTCCAGTTCTGGGGACCCAGCAGGCAGGGGCTAGATCTGTCCACTCCCTGAAGCCATGGGAGCCCCTGGACAGAGTGTGAGGACAGCAGTGGGGAGGGAAGGGGCCCGAGAGGGGGACGGGCCTCTCCCAGGTGCCCAGAGCACATCAGCCACCTGCCGTGGCCACATCCTGAAAACGTGTCCCAAGGAAGGGCGTTTCTGTGGCCAGGCAGGCCGACACCAAGGCAAGGCTTGAGGGTGACCCCGGGGCAGGGTGAGAACCGTGCAGTTAGGAAAGCCAAGCCAGGCTCCAAACAAACGTCACTGCAGCGGAAAGCCGGGGAAGGCGGGGACCGAGCTAAGACTGCGTGGCGGTTACAATGCCAGTGGCAACAGCCGGGTGGGAGGGCGGGTCACAGAGTTAACATATCCAGAAGATCTGGTATTTGGGGAGGAGAGCGGATAAATTACTGTTGGGCATGGATAAGTACATTACTTGCGAGCTAGTAGGAAAAAAAATGCGCTAAAAAATGTTTCCAACCAACCCAGATGGCAAAAAAGGGAGAACAACACAAAAAGCAACAGAATAGGTAGCTCAGCAAAAGAGAGAGTTAGACCCAAACATACCAGGAATTACCTTAAATACATGTGCACTGAAGGCTCCAGTGAAAAGACAGATGGACAGACTGGACCAAAGGGAAAACACAACAAAATGACTGAAAGGCTCTGGAAGAACCAAGAGCCAAGGACGAAGGAGCAGGACCAGAGACTGTTCCCCCACGTAAGACATCACCAAGTCGCCCCCACGTGTACTCCGGCTTCCACGCTTTGTGATCAACAAGCTTCCCTGTCACATGCCCCGGGAGACGGGGGAGATGGGAGGCCCAACACGCCAGCTGGTGCAGGGCAGCTGGGGAAGGACGCACCGGGAGACAAACACAGCGGGGAAGCCGTCCAGCTCACCCATTTGGGCACCTAAAACAGAGGCACCCGTAGCTGACATACTGGACGATGCGGGAAAAGACAACGAGACGTACACGGAAAACACAGAATTTGAAAAAAGGAGGCAACTACCAACTTTGAGGGGAAGTAATAAGAAAGGAAACCGTCAAAACCTCGCAGTTCAGCAGCAGTAATGATGTCCCCAGTCACAGCCCTCACGGCGCAAACTGTGCTCCAACTGTGGTGGGGGAGGGGGAAGTAGGTGCACCAGGAAGCCAGCCCTCACCCCTGTCACAGGCGCTCCGTGCGTGATCGCAGACGCTGACAAACCGAACACGGCGACGTAAGCACGTTCTTAGAAGTCCAGATGTAAATACAAAGAAATTGCCAAAAGACTCCCGAGTGGCGGAAGTAGTTCCGTTTCACGTTTTAGAAAATAAACGTGTATTACTTTGATGAAAATAAAATTTAACTTGAAAAAAGTCCACACGCACACACACACACCCCTGAAGACCCTGCAGCACATTCCAGCACTGGCTGCTCATCAGGAGTAGCTGCTTGGGAAAGGGGGACTCGGCAACCTCGCTGTGTCTCACGGACACGACACACAAGTCCACCCACACGCTTCACGTATCTACTCGACACAAACACCGGTAAACATACCTTTCTTGACCGCAGTAGTAATTCTGGGATTCAGGTCCAACTGATCCAAATCCATTTCTTCAACAGGTTGACTGCGACCACGGATAATCTCCCAGGGACACAAATGCCGATGCGCTTGTTGTCAGTGCAAACCCCCCAGGAGCAGAGCACCGCGGGGTGACAGTGGCTTGGGTACGCAGTCTCCTTTGTGACGGGTTCACCGTCAGCCCTGAGGTTGGAGGAGAGACTTCACTGCACCAGGAAAACCACTGAAGTAAGTCTAAGGCGACACCTTCAGAAACCAAGACTCGATCCGCACAGTGATGCGGCTGAAGGGATGTCCCCCGGCCACCCCCACTCTAAAGGCCAGGGCAGCGCAAGGCAGTCCCCGTTCCGTCCCCTGCAGAAAGTGTTAGAAATGAGCATGTGCTTCAACCCGGAGTCCCGGCCTGGAGACCTGGTACACGGGTGAGCACCCTGCCTGGCCCATCTCTGGGGTGAGGACGACGCAGACAGGGACCATGCTCATTGGGCTCACGCGAATGAAGCGTCTTCTGCATTCGGCAGAAGTGTGTCCCTGCGGGGATTTGGAAAGAATGGAAAAAGTGACTTTTGAATCCTGCGAGATGTTTTCAAGCGGGAACCTCCACGACCACCCAGCTGTTTCGGCGGAGAACAGCGGAGACCGTGTGGCCGGCCCCGCCCCTCTCCTGGCCAGCAGCCCTCCCGAGGCCCAGACCGCGCACTGAGTGCCGTGGGGACTGGAGCCCAGCCCGACCCTCGCTGGTCGCCTTACTTAGCCCAGGGTCACCCAGACACTCTCTAGCAAGCCACGTTTCCATGTTGGCCTCCCAGATCAGCAAGGGTGAGGAGGCAGCGGGGCGTGTGGGAACACCAAGGCCGGCAGCCACTCAGGCTGAACCCAGGGCCCAGGTCCACCAGCAAGGCCTCAGCCGGGGGGAAGGTCGGAGGTCGCCTCCCCTTGCAGCGCTTAGAGTGTTACTCATTTGGACAACATCAGGTTGATTTTGGAGCTTCGAGAAGCAGGTCGCCTGCACGGTCACGTTCACAGGCTGGTCAGGGAAACCGGTGTGGCAGAGAGAAATCCAAAACACCCAGAACTGACAGCACAGGAGCCTGACGCTCAGGCGTGAGCAGGAGCTTCCAGGCCAGGGCTGACAGGAAACATGCCGAGGCCGGGGAGGACACACACAGCCCCGGCTCCCCCGCGGCCCCCCGAACTGCAAATTGGAGGACAGCGGGGTCACCGTCAGAGGTGCCTGAACGCAGGGCCCCAGTGCCAGCCACACACAGCGAGAGGAGGTGAGGACGGTGACGAGCTCCGAAGGTGCCCTGAGCATATGGAAGGTTCTAGTGGGCTGGTGATGTGTGTGACGTTTGGTTCCTGAAGACAGAAAGCAGGTAAGCAAGAAAAAGATCATCTCCAGGACAAGTAGTAAGTTGCCAAAGGACACACGGTGTGCCTTCCTGGCTTGGTGGGGAGAGCACCTCTGGGATCCCTGAGGACAAGAGCGGGAAGAGGTGACCCAGGGAGGCACCACCCAAAACCTCCTCCAGGACAAGAGAACGCCGGGACAAGATACCAAGTCTGTTGTTTCCAAATTCCAGAGACGGTGCGTGTCCCCCCCCCCACCCCCAGACTGTGGAAAGGCCCTGGGGCGTGCCTGGGGGAGGGAAGGCCTTGATGTGACACACGCGGCCAACAGGCTGGACTGGGGTCTGGACCGTGAAGATGAATGGCCAGGAGAGGGACGTGCCTGGATACTAAACTCAGATTCTGACCAGCCACTAGACACAGGGCAGGATATCAAGGCAGGTGACCACAGCGCCTCGAACCTATGTGGTGGGGGAACGGGGCATCCGGAAGCAGAGTGACCACTGGTGGAGCACCTGCGTAAACCAGACACTGACCGGGAGCTGGACAGACAGGCCCAGGTGGGTGCCCTGTCCCCCCACCTCCCTAGGGGCAGGGGTGTGAGCCAGCCATCCTCCAGGCCCGCGCTCCTCCAGCAAGGGAGAGGCCTGGGCACGGAGCACGCCCACAGCGGGCCCAGACACATGAAGCAGCTTCCCAGAGCATTAACGTTAAGTTCCTGTTTAAGGGGACAGTTAACATGCCATGCCACTGGGCAAGGGGGTCAGAGCTGTAGGAGAGAACCCAACGTTTGTGGGAACCAGTAGAATCGAATATGACTTTCAAGCAACTCAGGTCCCGCCAGAGGGAAGCCCTGAGCCTTCCCAGGGGGAATCACACTCTCCTGCTTCAGGGCCCCTTGGGCAGAGGCCTGAGGACCCCGACTGCCAACCCCACCCCACCCCACCCCTGCCCCTCCCAGGGATGGAAAGTTCCAGCTACAGACAGACTGGCCCACCGGCCCACCTGCACTCCGGGCAGCAAGACTCAGGTTTCCAGTAGCTTTGGCGGACTTACGAAAGAGGGCAGGGCACGGCGCCCCCACAGAGAGGGCTGCCCAAATCTCCCACAGAACAGAACCAAAGCCCGTGTCTCTCGCAAGTTCAAAGCTGAATACAGGCGGCCCCCCTGATGCCCAAACTCACCGGAGGAGTGCAGACAGTTATCAGACACACAGTCCGTTCCCAGGACTGTTCCAGGCACCTCGCACAACACGAACTCAAGCGTCGCAACAGCAGTGTTCCCACCTCGGTGTGGCTGACTAGGAAACGGACAAGCCAAGATCATACAGTCAGCAAGGGGGATGCAGGTCCCCGCTGTTTGTTCCAAGTTCTTGACCCGCCTGTTAACAAATCCCACAGGAGCTGCTCAGTCTCCCCGCTCTCCTGCCTGCGGGGTGCCTCCCCGGGTGGGAGCAGCCGGCTCTGGCTCCAGACTGGGCATCTTTTCTGGCTTCCCCTCCCTGGAGGGGGTGATGAGCCCTCCCGGCAGGGAACGCCCCCCGGTGACTTGGGGGCCGTGCCTGGGCACCACGGTGGTTTCTCCAGAGCAGCCTGGCCTGGACACTTGGGCCCTCGTCCCTTCTCAAAACCCTCTTCCTCCTTTGAGAGCCCCTTCCCTTCCCAGCCCCTGAACCATCTTGTCCCGTTCCCCCCAGCGGCTCCTCCACACCGGGGGTCCCGCAGACCCACCATGACCCCGCCGTCCCCCACCCCTGCACACCCCGACTTCATGCAGCCCTCGCTCACCTTTCACCCAGCGCGGCGGCCTGCTCCGGTCCCTACGGGTGACAGCCCCGAGGGCGGGCCTCTGCGGCCCCCACACCCCAGCTTCCGAGCCCACCTTCCTTCCCACCGCCAGGACCCCGGCTTCGGCTGTCCCTTCCGCCCGCCCGCGGGCTTCGACGGTGCGGACGACCCTCGCCCCCGCGCCGCGCGCCCCACGGCCAGCCACTCTCACCCCGCGCGCGCTCTGCTCGCCTCTTCGCACTGCCCCGCCCCCTACAACCTCCTCTTCCAATGAGAGCCGGGCGCCCCTGCTTGGATTCGCCAATGAGAGAGGAAGCAGCATACGACGCAGACAAACTAGCCAATCCAAAGTCTCCATCCTCCCGAAGGGGGCGGGGTGTGCCTGGGCGGGCCCTCCCTGCCGATTGGTGTCGGGCCGCGGAGTGGCCGGGGAGGTGCCACTGCGTGGATTGAACAGCTCAGCGTTGGGGCGGGTCCCGGGTACCGATTGGCCCGCTCTCCCGGACGGGCGTAGCGATTGGACGCGGCCGTTGTCATCCACGCGGGCGGGGCGGGGCTCCTGACGGGGCGAGGGCCCGGGCCTGGGGCGATCGCTGTGGCGGCGTCATGTCCTCCGAGGTGGCCGCGCGCCGCGACGCCAAGAAGCTGGTGCGCTCCCCCAGCGGCCTGCGCATGGTGCCCGAGCACCGCGCCTTTGGCAGCCCCTTCGGCCTGGAGGAGCCGCAGTGGGTCCCGGATAAGGAGGTAGGTCGCCACCGCCCGCCGGCTTCCCGCCCCCCGTCCGCGCCCTGTTCGCCCGAGACCCCCGTCCGCGCCCAGGATCCCCTTCCGAGGCTAAGGCTACCCGGTCCGCGCCCCAGGCCCGCCGTGCCTCCCTGCTGCCCCGACCCGGGCCCCCGAAGCGCTTCGTCTGGCTCCTGCTGCCCTTCCGGGGCCCCCCACGGCCGCCGTCGGTACCCCGGGTTCCCGGTGACCGCGCTCCAGCCCTCCCGGGGCCTTGGGCACAGTGCCCTCTGCCTGGTTCCCTCTCGGGGCGTCCAGGCTCGCCCACTCCCCACTCAGGTGCGTCCCGCAAGGACCGCCCCTCCTGCTCTGTCCGGGTCTCGGCCCACCTGCGAGGTCACGTGGGAATTCCACTTCCATTGGATGAGCTGCTCAGCTGGGGCCCCTGAGACGCCGTCGCTGCCCCTGCCCCGTGGTGGGGGGGGGAGAGGCCCCCCGCCTCCTTAGAAGGCGGCGCGCTCCGGGTTGGGGGGGGGGGTGCCGCGCGGTGCGAGCGGAGGGCTGGCTTTGAGTGGGAGGTTGCAGGTGGACAGTAAGGAGGGCGTCCTGGCGGGCACCGCACCTGCTTGCAGGGGTGAGGGGTGGGGAGGCCCCGCGCTGTCCCTGTGGGCGGGGTGGGTGCGGCCCCTTCTGAAGGCCCTTGCGTGGCAGGCCAGGGGGTTTGGACCCGATCCCATAAGCCAGCAGCTCTCAGCTCCGGGAGGCCACGGGGAGGAACTCCGTGCGTTCCTGTAGATCCGTCCGTCCTAAAGAAGTCAGCGCGCCGTGATGGTTGAGTCGCTTTAAGTGACAAGCGCCCCTGCGTCCTGAGACGCCTTCCTCCCCCAGAACCGTAGTTACGGGCTGCAGGCTGTCGGCACCGGAGTGAAATAGGTGTCCGAGGCGAGGCAGGCCCGCCCGAGCTGGGGAGGGGCGGCGGGGCAGGGCGGCGGCGAGGAGAGGCCCAGCGGCCGCCGCCCCCGCCCTCCCCAGTGTCGCGTGTTCCCCGGGCCCTTCCCTCCCCTCCCCTGTTGCCCTGTTTGTGCTCTTTATTTTGCGCGCTTTTACCCTTGGTGCTGGTACTGTCTGAGCGGACAGCGCGTACCTTCCCCACTTGGGCTCCCCGGTTCGTGCTGTGGAAAGTCAGAGATAAAGGAATGTGTGTCTTTCTCCTGAATGTGTCCGCGTCACAGAGTTCCTTCCTGGGTTACTGGGGCTGACACGTGTTACTGTGGTTGGGGAAGTGGGAATCGCAGGGAGCGTCGTGGGGACGGGGCGGGTGAAAGGTCGTGCACACGGAAGGGAACCGCGCACTCCCGCAGTGGGGAGGGAGGCCGTGAACCTCTGGCACTTAATCTGTGGCCAGATCGAGGGTGGTCGGGGAGTGCCCCGCCCGCCCCCGCCAGGAGTCTGGAGAGACTCTGCCCGATTGACCCCCTGCGGAGCTTTGCCCCACCGGACTCGGTGGGCGTCTGCAAGGAGTCCCAGAAGGGTGTCTGGACCCAGGCACGGTTCCCCTGCCCCCACTTCTGCACACTGGGGTAACAGCTATAGCTCCGTGTGCCCTCTTCCCGTGCCCAGGGGTGTTTCCTGGAAAAGTGCCTGTGTTTTCGGGCCTGAGTTGAACAGCAGGAAGCGAGCAGAGTTGGCCTGATCTGTTTGAGTCTGTCTCTCTGTTGGGGGGGGGGGGGGGCTCCCTTCCACCTAGAAAGAAAGGGTAGCAGGTGCCCCTCGGAGCCCCCCTGCCCCCTGCTTGTGGGAATTCTTACTCGTGACCTGAGGAGCCCTGGAGGCCTTCCAGGGAGCCTGGGGGAGGAGGGACGGGAGGGTGGACCGCCGTGAGCTTCGAAAAGGAAGCGGATTTGAAGCCTACTGGGGCCTGGTCCAAGAGGCCAGAGGTTAGCACAGCGAGTGTTCTGGAGGAAAAGAAACAGTCTGGGGTTCTGGAAGCTCTGGGGGAAGGGGGTGGGGCGGATCCCCTGCCACTAGCCTGGCCCCCAGCTGCCCCCTGCCTGTTCAGTGCGTGTGGGACACCAGGACCCTTGTGTGCAGGGGGGAGACTCGGGTGTTGGGGATACCGGTAGTGAGAGGCAGGTGGGTCTGGGTGGTTTGGAGTGGGTGAAGGGAAGTAGGTAGAACGTGGCAGGAGGGTGACCCATAGACCCTCAGCCTCCACCCGCTTCCGGTTGTTTGCCAATTAGTGTTGCTGACCTATCTGTGGATGGTCCTTCGTGTCTCATCTCGGCCCCGCTTTCCATCGGGTCACTCTGAGGCCAGCCCGTTCCACGTCTGTTGTGTACTTACTAGGTGCCTGACCCTGCACCAGGATGGTCGCGTGGGCCTGCAGGGACGTCCCTTGAGAGTGTTGACAATTTGGGGTGTGTGTGTGTGTGTGTGCGCGCGCGCGCGTGCATGCGTGTGTGTGCATGCGCGTGCGCCTGCCCTGAGCCAGCTATAGCTCCCAGCCTCCTAGCTGGCCTCCTGCCCCGGAAATAACAGTTGCTGGTCCCCGAGGATGCACAGTCCGTGGCTCCCTAGTGGCTTCGGGGAGGAGGAAGCCTGGGGGTGGGCGCTCTGGGCACGAGGCCATGAGATACTGTTTTATCCGTAAAAGCCCTGTAGTTTTGCACCCCTCTTTCTTCCATCTTCCGCGCTGGGTATAACCAGCGATGCCGGTGGCTCGGGGCCATCATTTTGACACGTGGATACTCTGTGGTCACAGAAGTGGGAAGGAGAGCACGGGTGTCAGATCAAAACCAAATCCCAAGTTGGGAGAGACTGTTCTAGGCAGGGGGAGGAGCTGCTGCCGGAGGGAGACCCCGAACCCGGGAGATCTGCCGGTGTCTCTGGCCTGGCAAGGGCTTGCTCTGTGCGGGGAGGGACCCAGGACCCAACTGGATGAGAGCAGGTGGGAAGGGGAGGCGTCCACTCAGCGAGGGGGTGCGGATCGTGTGACCTGTGACCTGCGATCGGGGGTTGCGGCACCCCAGGTCAGCCTGTCGCACACGGGTTGAGGGTGGGATTTCATCCGTGGGCCTGAAGGAAGGAGAGAAGCTTGACTCAGGTTTGAGCAAGCGAGGTGAATGGGCATTTGTTCCGACCGACGAGTCTGGACAGACAGGGCAGCCGGTCGAGAATGGGGATTTGGGGTCCATGTGCAGCCTTGTCACAGGTGGTCGGGGGCAACTGTGAGTCATCGAGGTCACACGGCCAGGGGGTCCTCTGCAGACACTTGCCAGGCACAGGACAGGCGGGGGCTTTCACCCGCCTCGGGGACCGCGAGGCGGGGGGCACACCACCTAGCGCATGGGGGTGCTGGGCTCTGTGGCTGCATAGGAGCCTCGGATGTTGGGGGGGGGGCGCCGGGCAGGCCCAGCACTTGCTCCCGGGGAGGGCTCGTGTCTGGGGCGCTGCGTCCGCCGCTGGCTCAGAGCCCCCAGTGATGGGGGTCTGGGTGGGGAGACACAGGCGGGCCCTGTCCCAAGAGGAACACATGTCTCCTGCGATGCCAGCTGTTTCGCATCCACTGTCACATTCGTCCCCTCCCCAGGACCTCCTGTGTCTCTTTTGAGCTGGTTTTTTAACAGTTTACTGGTTCCCTCACTCATGACGGAGTTAAATCTTTGAGATGAGTCATTTAATATTTTAGGAGTAATTCTCTTATTCTTTAGAAAGGATTATCTTTCAATAAAGATACATTAATACATATATTGGTTTTTTTTTATTTGTTCAAAAATATTTTTTTGTTTATTTTTTTTCGGAGCTGGTGGGAGGGGTAGGGGGAGGGAGACAGGATCTGAAGGATCTGCGCTGATCTGTGCTCGAACTCACACACTACAAGATCGGGACCTGAACCGAAGGCAGCACTTAACCGTCTGAGCCACCCAGGCGTCCCGTGTGCATATATCGTGAAAACTTATTTTCCGGATTTGTTTGTGTCTGAGAAACCTAAGATAGGGAGTGTCGAGGGCCTGGCTCCAGCCAGCAGGGGGGCGCTGTGGGAGCGGGTGGGCCCCCAGGGAGGACGGGCAGGTGTCCCCAAGCTCTTTTGTTACAGTAGCTTTGTTTTTGACATTCCTTTAAACTCTCTAAATTGTTTTCCACCAAAGAAAATTGTTTTTGAGAGAGAGCGAGAGCGTGTGCGGGGAAGGGGCAGAGAGAGGGAGAAATTGTCCCAAGCAGGCTCCGCCCCCCGTGCGGGGCTCCGGCTCACGCACCCTTGATACGACTTGGGCCAAAGTCCAGAGTCGGACGCTCAGCCACCTGAGCCATCCAGGCCCCCCTCTTCCAACTATTTAGACTTTGAGGGGAGACCCTCGGGGCCAGTGCTGGTCCTGCAGCTGCCCGGGGCACCTCTGGGGGCTCCTTGCGCGGGGGTCCGGTGGCAGACCGCTCTCTGCTCCCCGAGGCCCTTCTGTGACCCGGGCTCGGCCTCTTCTCGCGCTCCACCCCGCGCGCGTCCGCCAGGAAGCTGACCTTGCGGCACCTGCCTCCCTCTCGTCTCAACGTCCACATCCGCGGGCGCGGGTCCCCCGTGGGCTCCCCCCTCCGAACCAGCACGGAGTCGGGGGCCGGGGGGGGGGGGGTGTGTGTGCGGTGTGCGGAGCTGGAAAGTTCACGAGGAGCGCTCCCCGTGCCCCTGCCCCAGTCGCCCTCCTCCGTGGTGCCTCCTTGCCACCAGCTTCCCGCCCCGCTGTCAGCCAGGCCTGCCTGCGGGGTGAGCGTGGCCCCCCCCCGCCCCCAGAGGCTGGAGCCTCCCCCAGCGACCCTAGCGGAGGCGTCTGTCATCTGGCCGGAGGCGCGCTCGTGCAGGGCCCTCCTGGTGGGCCCTGCCCCCACTCGTCCTCCCTCCCTGCCGGTCCCGCCCCTCCCGCCCTGCGGGGGGCGGGTCTCGGGCTCGGTAGGGTGTCTGGGCTGTGGCCGCCCTCGCCCTGGTTCCAGGCCCGCGGCCGCTGGCACCCGGCCGGCGCGTGTGGTTTCTGTTCCCTCCTGGTGCAGTTCGTTCATCAGACGCCATAGCGGTTCTTTGGCCGTATTTTTCCTCTCGTCTCTGCCTCTTTTTTCCTTCCCATTCTCCTCACGTGAGATCGCTCTGTCGAGACTTTTAGAAGGCCCTCTCCTGTCACGTAACCACAAAGTTACCTTGTCTTGAAGATCCGCCCGTTTTCTGAATCACCTTATTGCTTATCTACAGCAATAAGATCCTATGTCGCTTACGTTGTTAAGCACGTTTTTCGTCCTGGCTGTCGCCTCACGTTTACAGGTTGGCCCTGGGGCGCCTGGGTGGCTCAGCCGGTTGAGCGTCCGACTCTGGATCTGGGCTCAGGTCACGATCTCGGGGTCGTGGGACTGAGCCCTGCGTCGGGCTCCGTGCTGAGGGTGGAGCCTGCCGGAGATTCTCTCCCCCTCCCTGCCCCCCTCTCCCAAATAAAAGCAAAATACGATGAAAATTGGTCTTTCAACGCACCCAAACACACAAGCCCTACAGTAAGCGCGAGACCGTCCTTGTTAGCGTTGCTGGAGGGGGAGCAAGAGAGGGGCCGCCACCCGAGACCCCAGGAGGCGCTAGAGCCTTCCCGCGGGGTGAGGCAGGCTTTCCGGGCTGCCGGGCCTCACCAGTCACACCCTCGCTGTTGGTTTTTTCCAGTGGATTCTGTGGCTGGCCCTGCGGGGGTCACACAGAGGCCGGGGCCCTGCCGCGCTTCCAAGGCCCGAGTTCCAGAACTCACAAAAGGGAGAGGCAGCGGCAGGGTAGTGAGTATCCAGCTCACACTCAAAGCCGGTGGGGATTCTGTAGATGATTCTGGAAGGCCAAGGTGGGCCAAGCCCTGTATCCAAGTCCAGAAAGCAGCTCAGGAGCAACGGGGTAACAAGAAAGCGTCAGTCACACGATCTCGAAAAGCCTAGACCCCGCTCCCAGTGCAGGGGCAGCGGCCAGATGGAGCCCGTCTGGCTGCAGGGTGGTGTCTGAAAAGGGTGCCCGCCGTGGGAGGACACGCGCCAAGGCCCGGTGTGGCTGTGGGTCCGAGGTCCCTTCCAGGAGCACTGCGGGGTCCCAGCACCCCTGGCCTCCGCTCTGGATCAACACAGGTTCACGGGCACTTGGCTCTGTCTTGAATCCCTTCAGAGCTACCCGCTTGCCCGACTCGCGTGCGCCAGCCTACGGCTGCCTGGAGGAGGCCGAGGCCCACAGGGGACACACAGAGCCAGGGGAGAGGTCACCCGGCGGGAGGCGTGAGCTGGTGCTTGCCCCTGCTGCCCTGCGGGACGAGCGTGCCCCTGGCTGAGCGGAGAGAAGGTTTTGGGTGGGGACGAGGGAAGGACACTGGGGGACGGGTTTGCCCCGGGTCACGTGCAGTCTGGCTGTCCTGTGATCAGAAGCCCTCCTCCGGGCGGGCGCTGCCGGTGGGGCCGG